CTAGCCAATCTTCCTTAGCTTTTCTTGCCATACTTTTCACTTGTTTATCGATTGTTCTATATTTTTCTTTAGCATCTAATGTATTTGCGCTTTTCCATCTTCTCCTTTCATCCATTTTCTCCAACACTTCTTTCGTAATCCAAGGTCTTCTTGCTTTTCTTCTCTCCTCTCCCAAAACCTGGTAAGCACTTTCTTTAATTTCCCCTTTCATATTCTCCCAAAGTTCTTCCACATTTCCTTCCAAATTTAAATTTTGAAGTCTATTATTAGTCATACTCTCATATTTTTCCCTAATGTTGTTAATCTTCAAATCATCAATTCTCAGTCTTTTATCATTTCTATTTCTTTTTATGTGCTTCAATTTAACTCGGATCACGGAGAGCAAGAGGTTGTGGTCGCTGCCACAATCCGCCCCTGGATATGTTTTTATATTTGTAATTGTGTTCCTGTATCTATGATTAATCAAAATAAAATCTATTTGATTTCTAACTTCGATTCCCCTTGATCCTGGGGCTTTCCACGTATAAAGTCTTCTTTCGTGATGTTTGAACCATGTGTTCATCACAGTCAAGCCCTTTTCCCTACAGAAATCAATCAATCTTTCACCTCTATCATTACGTTCTCCAAGTCCCCAGGGGCCAATAACAATTCCTTCTCTTCCTCTTCCAACTTTTGCATTCATATCCCCCATTATTAGGAGAATATCTCTATTATCTTTTCCTTGAATACATTGGTTTATTTGCTGATATACTTCCTCTACTTCTTCGTCTGTGTGATCTGTAGTAGGTAGGTATGTTTGGATAATCAACATATCTCTTGGTTTCATCTTGATCCTCAAGGCAATGACTCTATCCGATATTTGCCAATATCCGTCGATTTTACATGATGTTTTCCTATCAATGATAAATCCAACTCCTCGTTCATGTTCCTTTCCTCCTGAATATATGAATCTGAATCCTTCTTCTGTTTTTATATCGCCTCTTCCTGTCCATCTAACCTCGGAAATACCAAGAATCGATATTCCCAGAATCTTCATTTCTCTGATGACATTGGCCAATTTTCCAGTTTGATAAAGGGACCTCACATTCCAGCATCCCACTCTTAGACTTTCTTTAAGAGCTGCTTTTCTGATTGTCTTTCCTTTATCGGCACCAGGACTTCCAGACGGCTTTAATCCAGGCACGTCATTTGAAGCACTCGTTTCCAGGAAATCCAGACCATGTCCGCAGCATCTCTCCCTGGTAGCATACTGCACAAGGACAGACCCAGGGGTCCCATCTGTACTTGTGCATATCTCATTTATATTTCGTTCAATGTTCATCAAGTCTTGGAAAAAAAGAAATAGAACATGGTGGTTTCCCGTTGCCTTCCATGTTTCGAATTCCATTGTTTTTAATGTTGCATTAAAAAATGACGATGGAATTATCCAGCGTCATTTTTAATGCAAATATTTTTAACATCAATCTCACAGAGAAAGAAATGATCAATTAAACCAAATTACATCAATAATCTTTATATATGTACTGTACATCTAACTGGAAACTCTTCATTAAATTAATTTTTTTTTTAGTTTGTATCAGCGAATTCCGTATATTGATTTATATTCCTTCAATACTCAACCAAACATTTAGAATCATTATCAAATCTAAATGACAAAAAATAAAAATGTGGGCATTAAGCTAATAGCCTATTGATTATATAGAGGTGGCATCCATATATTAGACGTTCAATTAAACACTAAATTATGGTTCTTAAATCTACTTTTAGTTATTCAGAAATATATTTTATCAATCAAGTACTCATTGTTTTCAAGAGGATGTAATCAAGACAGATTCTATTAATATCATCGGGCAGCCAAACTACTTTCCGCCGTCCAGCGCCACGCTACGGAGAGTTTAGGCGAATAAGTTGAGTTTACTATCGTACAGTATGTAAATTAGGTACTGTACCGTAAGTCTAATGCAGTACTGTAATTTTATACATTTCTTGTGAAAGAAACATTTCTTATTCAACGGCCATAAAAATTATTTATATTAATAATGTCTCCAAAGTTCAACGAAGTTTTTTCAGAAAAATAACTTATCAGAAATTGCGGCCGCCGTTTGGTGCGCTGCTCCACGACGAACACAAGCTGAAGCAATGGCTACGTCGAACGAGGATGTAATCAAGACAGATTCTATTATTTTTATTAGAAATCTATCATTGACAATTTAAGATTTTATGAAGGCCTTTTTATATACATTACAAAATATAAGGCTAAACCCATAATAATCGGGTTGTTGGATGGCCAAAGTGATTAAAGCGCCAGTCTATCATTCTGGGGGACCCGAGATCGAATCCGGGCAACCAACCCAAGAAATATTCATGGGTAGTCACGAATATGTCGGTCCCCGTTCCTTACCACCCTGCCACCCCATTTATCGTCATGGTTGATGTGATTGAAAAGCTCCTCTTAATGCTTACAAGGCAGAATAAGTCAAAAATAAAAAAATATACTCGTGATAGTTGATATTTTTATAAATTCTACCATACGATTTAGTACTGAATTTCTTAGGATGGATGGCCCAGCAGTAAGGTGGCAGCCTATCGCTCTGGGGGACCTGGGATCAAATCCGAATGGGTCAAATAATCCCCAGGAATTTTTCCGGGGGAACCGTCCGGGTATGTCGGGCCCCGTCCCTCACCACCCGGCCGCTCCATTGTCAGCCTGGCCGAACCCATAATGGGCTTGCAAAAAACAGGCCCTCTTAGTGCCCACATGGCAGAGAAAGTTAAAATTTTAAAAAAGGGTACTGAATTCCGAGTATTAAATCAAAACAGAATAAATATAAATTCAGAGCTGTTTAAAGCAGGCTAACCTGTTGGTTGAGGTTCGTTCCTGATCCTGGGCAGGTGACGTGGAATTTTATGAGTTTTTTTTTCATGTGTGTAACACCTCAATAGAAACCATTTCCCTGTATGTCCTCCTAGCAGTCACGCCATTGACAAATTGCTCATATATTGTGTTGCTTTATTTCATCAATCCAATCCTAAAGCATTTTGAGGTCTCTGGTCAAGTTCTTCAGAAGCATATAGATACAGGTGTAGAATAAAAATATTATAATATTGTTGAATATATCACTGTTGCAAGTTATGTGTTCACAGATAGTGAGTAGGATACCTTACAAGTAAGTTTAAAAAATCGCACACAACTACGTTGATCCGTTTCAAGTCATACCGAACCAAAAAGTGACTGGCTTCATAAAAGACGCCACGTCATGGCCGTTTATTTATTATAAAAAATAATACAATGGTTATATGATACGAAGCAACGCTTCGTATCATACACAATACAAATACAAAAGTTTATATAACACAAATCATTGCTACAAACATAGGTAATGACAGGAAAGAAATTTAACAAATATGAAAATATGATCCCCAAAGAAGGCAAAGCCATAGTCTATGGCTTACAACGTGGCCTATACACGTGTGATGCATGGTCATACCAGGGCTCAAGGCCAGCTTAGTGGGTGAGGTGACGAGGAAATTACCTCAAGCAGCAAACTCAGTGGGGGTAATAAAAAGAATAGTTAAAAATGTTGAAAATAATAATAATAATAATAAGCCGAATACAGTGAAGTCCCATAAATATACTTTAAAGTTGATAAATAATTTATACAAGAGTACCACTACTAGAAGTGCTTTCTCTATTGACAACTATTCTGAAAGCTAGAACGACAAAAAATTGTTTTTGCCTCAAGGGCAAGTTACCATTAAGAGGCACTGCCAAGGATGCATTTAACGTCTATTCCAGGCATTCATTTGCTCTGCCATGAGGATGACAGGAATTTCCAACTCCAAAATCTGCTGTAAAATCCTACTTACACCTGGCATCGATATACTCTGCCAAGAATGCTATGTTTAGTCATCCGTTTTTCATTTTCAGGCATTGGTTTGTTCTGCCTGGGAGATTCCAAGACATTCCTACTCCAAGATTTGTTCTTGTGTGAGGTTGTCTTCCTATCCATATATTGATATGTTTTAACTGAAAGCATGTTTAGTTGTAAAAACATGCTTTCAGGTAAACAGTAAAATCAATACTATTCCAGGCATTAATTCTGGGGAATGACAAGGGCTGCTGCCTCAAGCTTCGTTCTGGTGACAGATATGACTACCTATTGTCTTGTGACTTTAGTTGTCACCCTCAATACAAGTAGGCGCGGACTAAATCAGTCTATTTGTAAAGTAGGAAAGACGCTTTTTTAAACAACGAAGGGAATAACTACACTGGATGAACTATACCTTAAGCTATAAGATAAAAATTAAAACAATGGGATCGGTTATTTTATTTTTTATTATTTTATTGGAATAATGAGTGCTTTATTTCAGATGGTAGCGGAACAATGCAATAACAATATTAGATTTTGATTATGATGATACATTTTTAAGCAACTTTTCTTCTAACAAAGTTGTTGTAAACTTTTTACAGTATTAATCAAGTTATTTTATTTTTTATTATTTAAATGGAATAATGAGTGCTTTATTTCAGATGGTAGCGGAACAATGCAATCTTTATATGAAGAATTGAGTAATTTGGTACAGGATTTAGAAGTCATAAGCCGTATCACAGCATTAGTATCAACTCTTCATTATTCTTATAGTGTTAGTATGTTACAGAAATATCTTAAATTATAAATTTCAGTTGTGGAAAAATAGTTATTTAAATGAATGTTGTTTCTGAACATAAAGTTCTTATATCATATTTCTTTACTCTAAATGCATCTTTTCAATAATATGCCTTTGACTTACAATGCCTTATAAATCAAAACATAAATTACCATAAAATAATAATTTAGTAATTATTAAATATTTTTTAAAATATCAGANAAACAGCCGTAGTCTGTAAACTTCACACGTGTCGGGCTGTGATTGGCAAGGTCTCCTAAAACATCAATTTCATAAAAAACGGAACTTATCTACCGTGTTATAGGGGAGTCGACTGTATTGATGTCATAACTGCTTCCTGCTTCATTTACATATTCGTCGTGCACCCACACTTTCCGTTTCCCATTGGACATGATAAATTGTTTAACGTTTGTTTCTTATTGAATAAACTAATTTTTGGCTTTTAGAGTTATTTGCCTATTAGGGTATTTACTGGTCACATGGTTCATGGCACTCTTTACGGAGACCGATTGCGAACGGCAAGATATTAGCGAGATTGCGACCGACGTTTTCAACGCAAAAACGTGTAAGTCGAACGTTCAGCGCCGCCTTCCTGTAAGAAGTTTGACAATGGCGTTTAGAACGCCGAGCATGATTCCACTGACGTTCCAAACGTCATTTTCAAACTTCTAGGCTTACAGGAAGGTGGCGCTGAACGTCCGACGTACACGTTTTCGCGTTGAAAACGTCGGCCGCAACCTCGCTATTTCTTTAATTTTGTTTTTACGGTTCGGAGTAATAGCGAGGTTGAGGCCGAAGTTTTAAACGCGAAAACGTGTACGTCGGACGTTCAGCGCCGCTTTTTTGTAAGCCTAGAAGTTTGACAATGGTGTTTGGATAGTCAGTGAAATCATGCTCGACATTCCAAACACCATTGTCAAACGTCTAAGCTTACAGGAAAGCAGCGATAAACGTCCGACGTGCACGTTTTCGCGTTTAAAACTTCGGCCTCGACCTCGCTAATAAGTAGTCGCCATAACTAAACAAAATCCCCAAAATAAATATAACTAAACAAAATGAACGGAACAAAGTCAAGTTCTCCCTTATAACCATAAGAAAAATTATGAATGAAAGGTATATTGCTTTGAAAAGGAGAACGTTGCAGATATGCTTGAATAGAAGGAGGACATGTCTATTCGAAAAGAGCACGTTCTCAGTTTGAAGGACGTGTTCTTTTGGTTACTTTACCTAGGAGAAGAAAAAAAAAATATTCTCAGGATGGACATTTTTTTCTTCATTCTTTTTCTTCTGTGTTTTTCTCGAATGAAATTTTATATAACAGAGAATTTTGTTAGAGGAAATTTATTTTAATAACCATTAAACTAAGGCCGATGGGGTAGGATGATAGCCCACCACTCTGAGGGACCCGCGATCGAATCCAGATGGGTTGAAAAACTTCAAGAGTTCTTCGGGGTGGTCTGTCCGGGTATGTCGGGCTCCGTCGCTCCATTGTGGGCTTAGTTGAACCCATAATGGGCTTGCTAATGAACGCCTTCTTAGTGCCCTCAAGGCGAAAGTAGTTTTTTAAAAATGTCACTAAACTGAAGTAAATGAGAATCCAGGCGCAAATCTTGGAAAGGAATATTTCTTTCGTGTAATTAAATAAACAATATA